GGGAGTCTTGGTGAGCTGTTTTGGGCTGGGGAAGGGGAGAAGGTGTTGACCAGGCCCACAACAGCTCACCAAAATTCTCTAAGTGCTCCTGGGGCCCAAATAATTTCCCACCCTTAAGCTAGGTAGTTTCAGGTGAGTAGGAGTGGGGGTAGGATGCACCCTAGACTACTGAAGGAATTGGCATAGGTAACTTCAGAACAATTTGCGATCATCTTTGAGTTCCCAGATGACTGGAAAAAGGCAAATATAATGTCCTTTAAGAAAAGAAATTAGGAGGGTATGGAGAATTACATATCAGTCACTCTGATCTAAACACTTGGAAAAATTTTGGAGCATTAAGAACCCTTATTTTTAATCTCCTGGAGCACAACAAGGTTATTGGAAACAGCCAGCATTGATGGAAATAGAGCAAGTCATTCCTGACCAACTTTATTTCCCTCTGTAACATATAGTGTGGCTCTGTGGATAACGAGTGGAGGGAATGGATGTCATAAAGCTTAATTTTTAGCAAGGCTTTTTGATACTGTCTCCCATGACTGCCTCAGTACTTAGCTACGGCAACAAAGACCAGATAAAAGTACTGTAAGCTGGGTACCTAACTGGTTAGATCATCAGTGGCTCTATGTCTAGTAGGAAAAGGTATTGAGAAGGGGTTCTCCAGGGCTGTGTCCTGGGTTTGGTATTGTTTAATATCTTCATTAATGATTTGGAAGATGGTATTAAGTGCACAGTTAGTAGACTTCCAAATGACATAGTTGCAGACATCCTCTAAGGTTGTTCGAGGTTTCAGAATGAGTCTGATAATGTTGGACTATTTTTCCAGTTTAAATGAGCCCGGGGGGGGCTCATCTGGGCCTAGAGTGAGTGAGGATTTAGTTAGGGAGCTTCTGGAGGGGCTGGACATCTTTAAGTCAGCCGGCCCAGATGATCTTCACCCTAGAGTCCTAAAGGAACTGGCTGGGGTCATTGCAAGTCCCCTGGCATGGCTTTATGAACACTCGTGGTGCTCTGGAGAGGTGCCGGAGGATTGGAAGAGGGCCAACGTAGTTCCCATCTTCAAAAAGGGGAGGAAAGAGGACCCGGGGAACTACAGGCCAGTCAGCCTTACCTCGATCCTGGGCAAGCTGTTCGAGAAAATT